CCTCTTTTCCACTTTTCCTCTTTTCCACTTTTCCTCTTTTCCACTTTCCATTTTTCACTCTTCCACTTTTCCACTTTTCCACTTTACACTTTACTCTTTTTATACCTAAAGATCTTATTCCAAGTTCGCAGCCATTAGCTCTCGGTATTATTCGCGACGAAGGATTGTTCGTCACGAAAAATACCGATTACCAGGTCTCACCACGTGGAGGTTGCTGCGAGTGGAGACCCGGAGATAGAAGGAATCAAAGTTCCTTCGATCTCTCTCTACATAGAGTCTACATACATAGATGCATACTCTACATAGAGTCGACGAGCTTAATGCTAAGTACGAAACTAAGTCCGACTCTGCCAAATAATTATTTGAATTAAATGGAAGCTAAATGGAAATCGTGACACGACGCGACCACGTAACTGGACTTACAGAGTCAGTCTCGTTTCCTCTGGTGAGTCTGATTCAAAAGAAAGACGATCAACGTCTCCGCCAGTACTCTACTCCCTGCATACCTGCTGCCGAGGGCCCAGATCCGACCTTACAGTGTACGACGTAGGTAGCACCGCGTCGGGTTGCCCTGCCCTGGCGACACCAGGTATGTCTGACGGTCGTAGAGTCCGAAACGGAGTTCTACTCTCTGCACAACGTCAGGAGTCCAGGACACGACTTGCATCCGTCTGACGGCTCTTTTGAGCTGCGCTGCGTCGGGAGCCTGGACTTCGCCTGATGCGTACAGAGACTAAAAGATTCCTCGGAGGCGTCGATTGACCCTCTCTCAAATCAGACCCACTAGAGGACGGCAACCGACTTCGGCCAGTCACATGGTTGACCACTACACTTATTACATCAAGTAATAATGATCGAAATGGAGAACGGAGTTGCGAGTCCAATACGGACTTACGAACAAACGAAACAATTGAACAAATGATTAATAATTATTTGGCAGAGGACAGACACTCGTACACGCATGCCTTAAAACTAACCAAACCAAACTAAGATACCCACAACCAATAGGGAAACTACAAATAGGAGAAACGAGAGACGCGGACGCGCGATCGCGAGATCCGTATCGAACGAAGGATCAACGACGAATGATTTCTCACCCCTCGTATACCTGTGTCGGTCGAGGGTCGCGGCTCGCTTGTGCGTCTCGAAGTAGAGAAGGGGAAGGGCGAACAACAACCGCGTGACATGTTGGTCGCTTCGAAGACTCGTTGAATCCATCGAGAAAATAATTCGTGAAACATTAATATTACAGCAAAATTGTATACTCCACAATTCCTTTAACAAGTATCGTTAATAAATAATTGAACTATCGTCAGAAATTAATTTTTAGTTATTACAATCTCTAGATATCAAAGTTTAGAAAAATTTCCCCCGATTAATGCCTTCAATGAATACTTATCCTGAACCGCGATTGTTATTAATATTTAAGCGAATACTAAATATTACTACATACATTATAAATTTGTGATTAATTCAGAGAGAAAATTTCAATTGCATCTCGAAGTTTTAGATTGTTATTCCAATGTTTCTCGAGAAAGTAATATTCCCGAACATAAAAAGTATTAAACGCTGATTAAACGTAGTCTTAGAACATTCGTGTAATTTTTATTTCTTGCACTATTTTCCAGAAACAAATAGAGTAAATAATTCGCTGAATGTAAATGGTTTGTAATTTAAAATAAGTAAATCTTAGATCTTTTCAACATCGAGCAAAGTTAATCACAGTAAACAATCTTTTCTATCTCTAAAAGTAAACGATTTATCCAGATAGCTTATCTCGACTATAACGAACAATAGCAATCCGCTTAACACAATATTATCAATAGCCACAGTGATGCTTGACATATTTGTAACAAGAGTGAATTTCTTTATCACGCATTAGCCGAATCGCTCGACGATAACCAAAACACACAGAAAGTGTCTTGAGCGGAAAGATAAATTGTCGCGGCATGTGCATGCAAAGAATTCAAATAGTGACATCGCGATAACGCAATCTTGTACGCGACGCTTGGAAAATCGGACGTCGAGCAAGAAGTCCAGAAACGTGCTTCACCAGATAGGAATACCCACAAGTGTCAACGAACTAATCTCTATTTGCACAGAATACTAATTAAAGGTGTAGTGGAAGTCAAACTACCTGCGGCCAGAGGCATATCTCGCGCTTAATTCTACAGAGAGGACCGTGCAGGCCGTCGTTGCGTGAATCGTAGATGAGTTACGTAAAGTGAATGAAAGCAACTGCAATACGCCAGCCGCGATTCGTTGACTTCAAGTTCTCCAGTGACCCAAGAAGCCTCTCGAAACTCAAGTATCCTTTTCGAAAGAAACAGCCCCAAAATTGAAACAGCCGTAAAATCGACAATTCTCCAAATTTTTGAAAATCCTTCGAGATACGTTCAAATACTATTAAAGACTACAAGATATCAAAATTTCATCAAAGTCCAAGGTGGTACTTCAAAAAATGTCTTTCACATGGAATGACCTTAATATCGTGATTGATTCTTGAAAGATACTTCACTTCTACGTACTTACACATACATGAATCTTACATTTACACCAAATAAACAAAAGGAAAATTTTAATCAATTCTATTTTAATTTCCAAGTTCTATATTTCATGCTGAAGTCTAACTTCTAAAAGCTCCTCTCACCTACATGGTAGCACCGCACGCAATAACAGAGATACATACCCAGTCACTCCGTAAAAGTAGGTTAAAATCATACAGGAGGGCAAGCTGAGCTCTTTCTTCTGTCCACCCTACCAAGCAAACCATGCTTCTCAAACAATAATATTTGAGAAGCACTGCGCCAGGTGAAAATAGCGTATTGGCGCGAAAAAACGAACGTGCCCGATAAGCTCGGCGACGGTGAATCAGGGCTGGCGATTCAACCCGGCAAAGGCGGACAGGATTCGCGGTAATCTCGCGTGGCAGCCTGTCGGCGGTTGACCACGAACACCCGGTATATAAGAGCGGGCCAGCCGGCTGGCGAGGCTCAGTGCAGTCCGATGGGATAGGTAGAACCGATTCTCTGGTCTAGCAGCTAGTGGCGTGTAAGATCTCGACAAGCGAGAACGTGCCAGGACGACGATGCCGCGCTGACCGCGACCGGAGACCAAGGAAACAGCCGCAAATTATTATCCTTTTTCCCACTGGCGACGGATGGGCCACGGCTTGGCCTCAGTGACCATCTCCTGCTCGTGATGCGAGCAACTCGTCTGGAGAACTATCGGTTCTGACAGTAGAGGTGAGTGATCCTGAAAGAATCACCTAAAGTGTGAGGATCAAGAGATGTCTTGAATTCTTAAGTTCGAGGACCACTGAACAGTGTCAAGGGGGTTTGAAGGAGCTATCAGTGTCATCCTTCTCTCAGCACTATCTGATCAGGGATGATTGTGATAACTACTATTATTACATAAACGAGCCCTTACTAATTCCAATTTCCGATAGCGTTATCCTTTTCACAGTGCTATTGAATCGGAGGCGCGATGATTCTAATAGGAACCCCCTTATCGCTATGTAGTTCATCGAGGATGGGTACTTAACCCCGTCTAACTCTGATCTTTAGTAGTGTTGAGGATCTTCTTTCTTACTGGTGGAGTTTGATGTAACTCCACCTGGGATTTAAATAGTGCACGATATAGGTGGACTGGAAAGTAATGTCGTTTCTGCGAATCTCAATACTTGTTTACCATTTATCAGCTCATTGACTCTTATCGATTTCGCATTGAAATGGCAAAGGACTATTGATAACGAGGGTGATTACATAATTGCTTAAAAATAGAAAATTGTTAAGAGTATTTGTTTGAATTTAATTTAAAAGGAATGACATTACTTTTCGGTCCCCGTAATACGTGCAAATATTAACTATGAACACGTTTTCTCTCTAAATCGTGTTTCTTTACGCTAGCTTTTTGGATAATTCAAATACTTTTATGATTGTTAGAATGGAGAGGCTCCAGATTCCTGCCTAATTGATATATAACTGTTGCATTATATATTTAAATGAAAATGCATTTTCTTGTCTTCTCCCTTACTTTCCACCCATGTGCACAAAGTATATTCTAGTTACATTCTTATTGCAGTCTCATTAGTTTACAAAATGTTTAAAACTTTGCCTCGAAGCTTTTGAGCATTATCTTCATTACAGACAATTGTATAAAATATTTCATAGCCTAACGATATTTCTACTACTTTACCTTAATACTTTCTTACGTATTAGGGTAATATTTCACGTATTCCATCATATTTCGAAAATATTTCATGAACTAATGATATTTCTACCAGTTTTCTCTAATACTTTAATACTAAGAATGAAGAAAGGATTCAATCTATACAAAAATGACATTTATTTCTAGTTAAAAAATTAATACAACTATGAAATGCACATACACCATTACACTTATACAAAAGTATTATCCTAGAACTCTTTCAACCATTCATCTTTCACCTCAGACATTTTTCTCTGAGGGCACCGATAAAGAAATTATAAGTCATCGCACTTACTTGGCCCAACCTTATCTTTCATGCGAATTTCACCTGATATTGTTCGATAGGAGATTATAATTTACGGCCTGATATGGATGGTATCGATATTACTCCCATCGCTAATCGATACCGCTTGCGAGGGCATCGTTCCCATCGCTATAGTCAGCAGCAATTGTTAAATTCTCGTGGTGTCCATTCGAAGAATTAGGGACAGTGGCGACGCTGCACATGTGCAACACGAGGAAACGATTTGATGCTTTGGGAAGGGAAGTCTGCTCTCGTAGGAGGGCACCGTGCCAGGAAGCCGATATTGCTGTGGACGACACCCTACACCAGCGTGTCCCAAACTGTGCTTCGCGGTGCCCTGCGAAGACCTGTTTAACGCTTTGACTGATAATCGTGAAAATTCCTACGAGACTAAAATGTTGCTTCTACAGGGTGTCTACGTATAACTTCGGACATACGCAGGGTGTCAATTCTACAACAAATTTCCAACAAAAAGTTACTCTGAGACATTTTCATTGTGTCGCCTTGTTCTCGAGTATTTCCACTTTCAATATTTTTTCTGTGTTTTCGACTTGACACTCTTTAAACGGCCATAACTCTACCAAATTACAGTGCAAACTTAGAACTAAGTAAACCGTTCGAAAAAGTGTTAAATTTACCATCTCCATGATGCCAAGCTAAAATTTATTACGTAGATTTAACAAGTAAAAAATTAGGTCAAACTTTACATTGTGAAAATTTCAAAAAATTTGACTTTTTCTATATTCGTTTTTCGGTGTCAAAGACATAGTTGTTTGGCGGGCACTCTTCGTGAAAAACTTCCTCGAAGTCTCGGCTTTTGAATTGTATTGTCAAACAAAATTATACGGTGGTATTTTAGGAAGAAAATGACGTTTAAATGTAGAAAAGCGTTCAAAATGTCCGCCTCCTAAATCAAAACTTATCGGTTCTCCTGCGCCGAAAACATTGATCTTTTGCTGTGTGAAATCGATCGTGTTCCAATCTTCATATCATTTATCGGTACACCGAGGTTGATTTTGATTAAATAGTCTCTAAAAACGAAAATTCTATGGATACATGTTTACAAACAATTATTATTCATTTCGCACTCAGGCTCTACACACGGCTGGGAGAGCCCTGAAGCGTCAAAAAATCAGTTATTTTCCTAATTGGGGAGGCTCGGAAGTGTCACTAAAAAATACATCAAACCCGATGTCAAGTTAATTTTAAAGTGACAAGGCGATTTTTGTTGAAAAATATCGATTTTTAACTAAAAACCCACGCTTTCCTGCATTTAAACGTCATTTTCTCCCTAAAATAGCACCGTACAGTTTGTTTTGACAATACCATTCCAAAGGTGAGACTTTGAGGAAGTATTTCCGGAAGAGTGTCCGCCAAACAACTATATCTTTGAAACCGAAAAACGGATACAGAAAAGGTCAAATTTTTTGAAATTTTCACAATGTAAAGTTTGACCTAATTTTTCACTTGTTAAATCTACGTAATAAATTTTAGTTTGGCATCAGGGAGATGGTAAATTTAACGCCCTTACGAATGGTATACTTAGTTTTAAGTTTGCCGTTTAAAGAGTGTCAAGTCGAAAACGCAAAAAAAATATTAAAAGTGAACATTCTCGAGAATAAGGCGACACAAAGAAAATGTCTAAGAGTAATTTCTTGTTGGAAATTTGTTGTAGAATTGACACCCTGCGTATGTCCGAACTTATACGTAGACAACCTGTATACAATTACAAATTACATAATCTAAGTAGTATTTTTTTTTTTGCTAACTCTTCGGAATTTACCAATTCTATAAAAATTACTTTTCTTCGACATCTCACTCTTAAAATTAATTTAATTAGTAAAAATCCTTACCGTCCATATGTGGGTGGCGTGGCGGGAGCTCGATCGGTGGAACAGAATAGGTGCATTCAAAGACAACTGTTGAGCGATTCTCTTGAATTCTCTACTACGATTCGTCTATTCGAAGTGCTTAGACGAATCGAAGTACAGAATCCAAGTGAATCACTCAACAGTTGCACAAGTGTTTTCCCTGCTGAGTGCAGCCAATGATAGCCGATTTGAATTTGAAATGATTAGACGTTTCTTCGTATTAGTTGCTGCCAAGCTATCGAGTCAATTGTCATATAATGGAATTGTAAGAAATATTTGAAAAAATCATTGTCAGATAGCTCTGAACGATGAATCATGCAAAAGATATGAAATCATGAAGCAGAATCAATATTATAATATATTATATTTCGTATAAGTTTCCTTCTTAAAAATACAACAAAAAAACTCACAAATGGTACAAAGTAAAAATTAGTCAAATTTAACAAAAAATGAAGTAGTACCTCAATCAATTTTAAAGACAATTACTGAAAAGGATTAATTGAATAAGTCCATTAAACAGTGTAATTCTTCTTGTTGAATGAACATGTCAGTGATCAATATGTTTATGTAACAGTAGGTCGTCGATTATTCGAACTCCTCTGTATCTAAATATAAACAAAAACATTGTCTACCTATCATTTTATCCTATATTACAGTTCGACAAACTCAATCTTGGAGATTTACAAAACACGTTTCAAATAAAATTATTTAATATAATAAAAAATTTCCACGGTTAGATTTATTCGCCAAGTAGCAATTGTGTTTGTTGTAGAACACGCACGAAATGATATTGGAGCTATCTTTGGAGCTATTATAAACTTCTGCCACGCTGATTATCTTTCACTCTATCGGTCGGGGAAGCGCGTACATAGTAATTGAGTACATCAGTTGCTCTAACAAGGGTGTTGGGAGGGGAGAGGCAACCTAATCTGATAAACTGATACAAGAATTCCTGATTACATATCGGAATTATTCAGATTCGGTGATATTAAAATAAAAGATAATTATCGTCGTCCCTGATTATTTGCAAAAAACAATTTGTAATACTTTGTGTTGTGTATATCTATACGTACACATTGTTCTGTATTTTTTCATGCATTTGCCCCCGAACTATGCACTATTGAAAGCTAAAAAGGGAATGAATTAACTAATTAATGAAATATCTATAATAGAAGTCTACAAAAAAATATTTGCGAAGTCTAAAATTCATATTCAGATAAAGATTCAAATATCTTCGTTCGATCTTCTGCTACTGCGTGAAACCAATGTATATTTAGTAAAAATAATATCAGTTACTTGTGGTACGTGGCTGATGAAACGGAATTTGTAAGCCTTGATTACAAGTAAAGGTAAATGTTTTATATTTTATATCGTATGGTCGCACAGAAGTAATATTGTGTATAAAAGAGAAGAGAGAAAACTATTTGAATTTATTGTTAATAATCTCAACATTTTAGAACATTAATCGCTAGATTATGCTTATTTAACACTTCACCCGTTCTATTATTTCAAAAATATGTTGTATGCCAACATAATCTTTGTATTAGCTTTAGTTAAGATAACTCTATTCTAGAAACATGATTTAGAGAGAAAACGTGTTCATAGTTAATATTTGCATGTACTTAAACTAGACGCTTTGGCGCTACTGGAAAATAGAATTAGGAAGAGCTTCGAGTACCCATCCTCGAAGAATTATATAGCGATAACGAGGCTAGTTATTGCACTCTTCTTCTCATCCTCCGTCAGACTCCAGCAGCAAACATTCCAAATTTCTTCCTTCGACAACTGTTGATTTCATCCTGACTAGTCAACCCGGATCTCGACCTCGCTACCTCTCCTTTGCCGACCGCTAAACTTAAAACAATTCCTATCCTCCCATTTTCTATCTTTCCTGAACCTATAAAGCCCTCTACTTTCCCATTTGAATTAGAGAATTGTCCGAACCGTCTCGATACGAGGATCTATAGCCAGTACCACGCGTATACCTTTGTTAACTTCGTTCAATTTCCCTCGACGTCGTACTTGTTAAATAATAATAAAGTAACGAATCAAGCGGAATACAACAAATCTAAAGAAAAAAAAAAACACCACCCTCTCGTCATAATTTATTTCATTATGATTCTGAAATACCTACGTCAATATTTTATCAGAAAAGCACCTTACCATCCGCTCTCTCTCTATCTGAAAAAGATGGAGAGCGATGGAAAGAAGGTTGTGTTATTTACAACATATGAAAGTTACTATATAGAACGAATGAAAAGGTCGGTCTAGAAGATGCCAAATTAGCATTGCTAATCGGGGGAATTCATTGTTTTTATTCCAGGAACGCTGAGGAAGGATGTGGCGTTTGGTTTTTTTTCTGATTGGCGCTGCGATGGCGGGGGAATCGGGACCCGAGATCGAATATCCCGACATACCAATTCAATATTCACCCTTGCCCCCGGAAGAAGATGCGCCTGTGCTTCTTCGTGGCATGCTTTATCCACGAGAAAGCGAATCGCGAGAGGTAACTGCTCCGTTCGAATTTCGCGTACATTTTTTACGTACATTGTCTATTCCCATCGTCTGACATACAAAGTTTGATGAAATAGTTCGGTATTCGAATACTCAGGTAGCCAAGTATTTAAATAACAAAATAGTTAAACGTAAGTAGAAAATAATTGTCAATGAAACTATAAAGAATAAGTAGGTGAAAATTGTACGTAGGTAAAAATTCTCGATGGTATGTGGGACTTCGTCGTTTCACCATCAGGAGATGCACTGAAGGGCTACAAGGAAGGATGGTTTGCCAACTATTTGTCGAAGGTAATCGTAGAAATCTCAATTTAATTATAAATCTACAAAATTAAAACGAAACTGTTTGATCTGGTTATTTCACGAGTCCTTACGTACAGTGGGTGTAGAATGAAAGGGACACATTATAGCAACGTTTCGCAGATTCAGGCCGCTGCAAAGGTCCTTTGAAATGTTAATTACGCGGTCTACAAGCTGTATTGACGCAGAGGGAGATTATTTTGAGTAAATCAACGTGTCTGTAAAAACTTTACTGGTACTTTTTTCTTTTTATAGCAAAAGTTCGATTTCTTTTTAGACAGACCGTGTATACATAACAAATATGAGCTTGTGTTACATGGAAAAAGTAACGCGATTCTTTCTGAGGCAGTGGGTAATGTGTGAATAGTGTACATCTTAAAAAAGCGACAAAAAGCATTTTCATAAGAAAGTAAGATGTGGGAATATATTTTGTATGATATATGGTGCAATTTCTGAAGATAAATAAGGATCTAAGATTACAACTTGAAAGATAGAAACTGTCAATGCATATCTATGACTGTTTCACACATTATCACATATTAGAGTAGTATAAAATTTTGATTTTTGACATACAGTGGGTGTAGAATGTATTTGTACATCGATCAATTTCCTAAAAAAACTTTTGTGAAATTGTAGTTTATTAATTTCTTTTTTTACAATCCCACGATATGATATGATAACGTAATAATATTCTACATATTCTCGGAAATCTCTAAAATAGATATAGTCTAAACAACAGTTATTAGTTTATATAATTTGCGAAATTAACAAGAAAGTACGAAAAATCAGCAAAAATATAGAAGCAATAAATATTGGTACGGTTTTTATAACGAACCATTTACAGTAGAATTTGTAACATAAACACATCAGTTTATAGTTTCGTACGAATTAGAAACATCAAAATTACAGTAAAGAAGTCTTAAAAAAATGTTTTAATACAAGAGTGGAAGAAGATCTCATCCCGAACAACATCAAATTTAGTTAATTTACCTAATGCCTAGAAAAGTTGCAGCAATTAGAAAATCAAAATGAAATCCCATGAAGTATTAATTACTTATAAATTAATGTAAATTTTTTTTTTTTTTTAATGAAGTTTTGAAAATTTCGAAATTTTCTTTCGCGAGTTGCACTCAATTATTTTATGTGATCGTGTTTATATAAATAGACAATCTAATACCATTGATATTCATGTTGTAACAGTAATGGAGCAAAAATGAATCGTGCAGAATTCAGTAATGTAACATAAAACATAAAATATTGTGCATGTATTACTTATTAATAAAGCGAAAGAAACTTTTGGAACAACCTAATGTATTTCTATCGATTTATTGTTTTTTCTTGTTAATTTTGCAACTTATATAAATAACTAATTTTGTTTATACTGAATCTGTTGTAGAGATTTCCAAGAATATGTAAAATGTCATTGTTTATAAAAAGGAAGTTAATAAATTACAATTGAACATAGTTTTTTTTTTAATTGACCAGTGTACGAATACTTATTACACCCACAGTATATTGTTATTTGAAACTATGTTCGAGGAAAATATGAGTAGATACACGAACAATACTAATCATCTGCAGAGTGGTCATCTTCTTGTTTAATGATCTCTTTATTCTACCATTAAATTAATGCCTCTTGTCCAAATAAATAGTATATTTTTGAAAACTCCTCCACTGTCAATTTGGAGCATTTGTAACGAATGTATCTTAACTATCGTTTTTAATTAAAGAAAATTAACCACCTAGACCAAAATCACTTTTAACAACTGGTAATAATCGAATGCACTCGCAAAACTGGTATTCAAATTTTTTGTTCCATTAATCTATAGTTTCCTGTTGTCAAATAAATTAAACGTTACAAATTAAGTTCGACCGAAGTGCCAGCATCTATTCAAGAGCGATTGTTGCATGTTCGTGTGGTACTCGAAGTCGCGTGGACGTTAATTTCATGTAATTATACGTCTACGATTCACTTATCTGCATACACTGGTTTGTGTAGGTAGGAAAAGTGATGCAAATGCCTGTTCCATCGTCCTACAACGATATCACAACCTCGAGGGAACTTAGGGACCACGTCGGAGCTGTCTGGTACCAACGAACATTCTTTGCTCCCTCTTCTTGGCGAGAACAAAGGGTCTTCGTCAGATTTGGTTCGGTCAATTACCTCGCACAGGTGGTAAGCACCGAAATAATATTCAAAAATCTTCTATTTTTTTTATATTTTCCTCACTTCTTTCGAAACACGTTATTTAAGATACGAACACTTTTAATCGAATGATCTTATAGAGCTGAAACACTTTGTCTCCCTGGTCCAATACCTTAAAAAATAGATGATTTGTGTAAATGATTATCTAAGATGCGAACATTTTTAATCGAATAATTTTATAGAGCTGAAACACTTTGTCTCCCTGGTCCAATACCTTAAAAAATAGATGATTTCGGAATTTCTTTAAAAAAAACTATAAAGTATATCAATTCCAAACTAAGTCTATATATCAATACACATCTAACGAATCATCTCAAATTTTTTCAGGTGAAAATACGTGTTACATTTCGAATTGTCGTAGATCAACCAGAGTGCCTTAATTTTGAATTTATTTAATTAGATGCAATCAATTCTCTTTGTTTATGAATGTCAAAGAATTGTTTAAATTTTTGTTTATATTTTTCAGTGGGTAAATGGTGGACTAGTGACCAACCATGAAATGGGCCATCTACCATTCGAGGCCGAGATCTCGTCTTATTTAAACTACGGAGATAAAAATAGCATAACAGTGGCAGTAGATAATACGTTACTACAAACAAGTGTCCCGCAAGGACGGATCGTGGATACTGCTGTTGATAACGGAACTGTACACACACAGACGTATACTTTTGATTTTTTCAACTACGCTGGTATACACAGGCGAGTGAATATTTATATCCCATCAAATTTTTAATTGTTACACAAAAATGTCGTGTAATACGTAAACACCACTAAAACCACTTATAAATCCATTTATAACAATCAACGACGGATTAATTTCATATTAAATGGAATAAAGATGCAGAATATTTTTGTTGCTCGTTTAGATTATAAATTTTCTTCCTTTGACAAAGGTACATCACTAAAATAAATATTATTTAAATTAATTTAAAATTTATTCGTTTAATATATTCATTTGATTCAGATAAATTTATTTGAATTAATTTAAAATTGATTCCTTTAATGAATTCATTTAATTTAAATAAATCACAAATTTAGTTTCTTAATAAATTCGACTAATCAGGTCAGAGTGCATGGCACAATAGTCAACCAACTAACCAGATCGTTCGACTTTCAAAAAGTTTACGCTCTCTGAACCATCACATATTTCGCGATAATAGATTAATTATCGTCGGTATTTTTGTTACGAACAAAAGCAAACTACCAGTGCAAGACAATCTATCCATCGCGAGAAGAATACGCGCGAACACAGTCACCGGGTAGTTCACCAACTAAATACACAATAGAACATACATCAAGTTTTTGGGGAATTTAATGTATCCTATCATTTGTTATAAATGTCTCGATTCCGAATTCAAATTTCACCACAAAACTGCACTATTAGATCATTATTTTGACAAAAGTTAAACGTTCCCGGAAGATCATATTTAATTGTTTTTTTAAATTTTCTCAAGCAAAAATCAAATCAGTTTAAAAGAAAGTTACATCAAAATTAAGAATTTCAACGAGACATTTAAATTAATAATCCTGAAGACATTTATATAAATCAATCGAAGGATTGTAACATACAAAATTGTATTATGAAGGATTTACCAAAAGAGATCCAAGGATTTCGTTTTAACCACCCTAATCATGAAGTCTAGAAATTGATGCTTTGGATTATAGAGTGCTTCTTGATTCGTAATTGATTGATTAATTAATATACATCAGACAACCGATCAAATTACGACATGGTGCTTCTATCTCTTCTACAGAATTTAAAGCTTGATAATCTAACTTGCTTGGTAGAGGTGCATTAACAGGATTACAGTCGTTCATATTAAACTTCTCTAGAACAGTTTTAATATAGCCACTCTGATCCAAGGTTATTTTATTTTCACGACGTTCGATTTTTATTCCTAAAAAGAAACTAATATCGTTTAAATCCGTCATTTTAAATGTATTCATTAATTTTTTTTTATTTTTTTTTTTTAATTAACAGAAAATTTACAACTGGCTCTTGGAGCCAACTAGCAAATTTGATCAATGCGTGTGTCGCACGCGTGGGCGACGCTCAGCAGCGTTTCCACTAAGAATTAAAATTTATTAATTACATTCGTAGATCAGTTGGCTTTTGTCTCTTTAGTCTTCTCGTTGTTGGTGCTTGGTTTAGCATCGTAGCTAATTCATTGGGATGATTTGTTATTTTATTTTTATATGTAGTTGCAAATTTTTTTACGTGCTCGTTGACATACTGTACTCCTAAATCTTTATGGAGGGTATCACAAGTGACATACCATGGTGCAGGAGTTATGATCTTTAGTGCTTTGTTTTGGAATCTCTGAATTAAATTTATATTACTTTTCTTGTCTATATATTATAATATTACTCCATATTGGAATGATAGCGGCTTTGTAAAGAAGTAGTTTGTTTTGTAGTGTGAGTGGCGATTTGGGTCCCAGAATCCAATACATATTCATTAAGTAACCTTTGATTTTATTCATTGTTTCCAAATTTTCAGTAGCAATCACAAGATCGTCCACATATAGTACAACATATATATTTTGTTATTCGCCGATCTTGACGCTTTCATAGGTGTCTTCATCATTTCTCGAATAATCCCGATCACGTTCTCGGCACTTGTTACTCCCTCCAGTGTTGGGTGTGCCACTGGTGTCAAGTTTCTGCATGTTTGGACGTTTTGGCCCCTCCAAAAATTGTATGAAATTGTGATATCGAACATCAACACCAAATTCTTCATTTTGCAGGCCCGTTTTGCTGCACACAAAACCGCGTGTGTACATTGAAGATATAACGGTAAGGACGGGATTTGTCGGTGACGTAGGTATAGTTAAATACTCCATTCAGCCAGCAGGTTTACACGGGAACGAAATTCCGATCTGCAGAGTGAGCCTGCTCGATGCTGACGACACTTTAGCTATAAAGGAGCCAGTGTATGGAATTTCCGGTACGCTGAAAGTTCCACTTGTTAAACTCTGGTGGCCCAGAGGTATGGATCCTAACCCTGGATACCTGTACACCTTGGAGGTATAATATTTCTTTGTTTAACTATTCCACTCTGGGCTGGTTTAGATCAAGCCAGACTAAACACTGGTCGCCTAAGGGTTGCGTAGCCTCAGGGTTGCGTCAATGTCACCTTCTCTCTTCAAAACCAATACTAAATACAAAATTAGATCTACGAGGGTGGTTGGGAATTAAATCGAAATTCTCTTCAATTAAGTTTGTTTCTGAAGATAAATTACAGGAATCGAATTAATGCTTAGATGATATAGATATATTATATTTTTAAACGTTATTGAAACAAGCCTAGAAGTATTTTTAACTTCCCGATTGATAGGGAAGTTATTGTATTTTTATAATTATTTTTAACTGCTGCTACTTCGAGAAAATCAAGATTATAGTCAAGCTATTTACAGAAAGATATGTTTATTAAAAAATATTCCTACAACAACAATGCAATACTAACTGCAAATACATTTGCATCAAGTCAAGAAAAAGCCAGTACATCAAATTAATTTTCTGCTTATTACCAAATTAAGAAGAAGACTTTACGAAATTTGACACCAGAAAGATCAATCTAATTTCTAGTATTATGATAATGTATATCGGTACGAAAATTCAAAAGAGAAAAGAAAATCATGTAACACGTTTCATAGCCACCTTATAGTTAATTCAACTCGCTAATAACGTTCTGTTTTCAAGGTGACGTTGTCTGTGACGAATGACTCCAAAGTCGACGTCTATAGACTACCGATTGGCATCAGGACGTTGACCTGGACGAATACCAGTTTACTCATTAACAACAGACCAATGTACCTGCGGGGATTTGGCAGACACGAGGATTCTATCCTGAGAGGACGCGGACTGGACTTGGTGACCGTGGCCAGGGATCATGAGTTACTGAAATGGGTCGGTGCGAATGCTTACAGGACCAGTCATTATCCTTACAGCGACGAAGTACTCGACTTGGCTGACAGGTACAGGGTGTAACAAACTGTTTTGTCGTGGCTTCGCCAGCAGATTCTATCGGCTTATAATTGATGAAGATCTGTAAACAAAAGTTGACGCAAAATTGACCTTGGCGGAGAAATTCAAGGTCAAATTTTTTTTTATGGTATCGTATACTACTCACTCGATGGGACAAAAGTCTTAAAGGCACCATAGGTCGCAAATGAATCCTGAACTTGGAAAACGAGGTTGAACATTTCTAGCGTTGTTCTCTGCGTCTTGAGCGTCTTCTCCTTTGCCACAGTATTGAACCATCGACATTTATGGACCTTAATAATCGTGCTTGGTTACCGGCTTCGATATGTCCACCATTATTACATAGGACAGATCCTTAATCTCTCTTTTAAATTCTTACAAACTTTTTCGTAAACGTCGAGCATTGACTCCACACGACGAAAAGCATTTTCAATTCGCAATTTTACTTGTTGCATACTTGTAATTTGTTGGCCTGGCCGGTAAACAAAATTCTTCACTGCTCCCCAAAAAAAGAAATCCATAGGTGTACAGTAAGGTATAGAATACAACAGAACCTTGATTATTGCACGAAACCGGCCTGCAATAATCGAGGTAACCAATCCACTTGGAACATAGTAGCTCCACAGAGGATATCCACACCTTACATGTTGCTTAGCAACCATCCCCTCCACTTGTTTCTATCGTGCAATTAAAGAGGTCCCCGTGCAATAATCAAGATTCTATTTCTTGTTGTGCAAGAGTAAAGCTAACAGATGGAACAATCGACTGTATAATTTATTAGTTCACAATGCAAGTAATCTTTTATATTTTAACAAAAATTTTGCCTTCTTTATATTTACAAAATACCGGCTGAATGGTATTATAATATAAGTAGTTTTTAGTTTACATGATAACAATATTATTATACAGGGTGTCCCAGGCTAAGTGATACGGAGCTCTAACTCCAAAACTATCGGCCAAATGCAAAATTTCAAATATGGTACTATCGCATGGTATAAAAAGAATATATATATAGTTCCATTTGAAAAACGAAACTTGACCATCATATCTTGTTAAATAACAAAGTTAACAAAAATTCCTTCTCGCTGAAACATGAGCCCCATTTTACCATGCAAGTTCTATATTTGAAATTTTGCATTCGGTCGATAGATTTGGAGTTAGAGCTCCGTTTCACTTAGCCTGGGACACCCTGTATAACTAGGGTGATGGGGCCACTGAAAACCCATTTAGAAAATATACAACATTTTAGTTTATTCATTTTTATGGGGTATGCACACATATCTTCCATGACTCACTCATAAAATGAAGTTAATCTAAACATCAAATCGCAAACTATATAATCATAAATTATAAACCATAAAGAAACGTCTACTATCGATTTATATGATACCTTGCTATTTTTGTGATCATTTGTATTCGAATTTTATGAAAATAATTAGACAGCCAATGTATTTTGTTCTGCGATTATTTTCTTGATACAATCATACGTATTAATTGACATACTTTCGAAAGGATGGGATTCCTAATTATCGATGAATGCCCATCCGTGGACACGGAGAACTTTTCACCCACCCTCCTCTCCCGTCACAAGGAGTCGATATCGGAACTTATAAGGAGAGATAAGAACCGTCCTTCAGTGATCATGTGGTCCATCGCCAACGAGCCTAGAACGCAATTACCGGAAGCTGAGGAATACTTTAAACAAATTGCCCATCACACGAAAGCGGTCGATCCTACTAGACCGATTACCATTGCGATGGCTCGAGCTGTTCAGGTTACTATTGCAACATTTTCTAGACCTTAATTAACGCTTCTGATATTGTTCCAAACATAATAGTAAATATAAAGATATTTAGAAAATTTAGAAAGATATCATTCTCGCGTATTACAATCCCTTTTTTTCTGTTCAATCTTCATGTTTGTTTACAAACATTATTCTCAATATTCTACACTTTCGTAGCCTTCAGTAAATGAAAATCATTTTAGACCAAGTATTAGCTCGTCCCAAAAGTTTCTTTCGCTTTATTAATAAGTAATACATGCACAATATTTTATGTTTTATATTACATTACTGAATGCTGCACGATTCATTTTTGCTCCATTACTGTTACAACATTAATATCAATGATATTAGATTGTCTATTTATATAAACACGATCACAAAAAATAATTGAGTGCAACTTGCGAAAGAAACTTTCGGGACAACCTAATAGATTCGAATAAAACATTAGTAGTCGAATACAGTTTCTGATAGTTGAAAATATGTTCTTGAAGAATTGTTCGTAAAGTTTACAGTGGGTGTAGAATGTATTCGTACTCCGATCAATTTCCCAAAAAACTTTCGTGTGAAATTGTAGTTTCTTAACTTCTTTTTTTAGAATCAATGATATTTTAGATATTATCGGAAGTCCCTTAGATATAGATCACACATTTACTAGTTAATATAATTTGTGAAATTAACAAAAAAATGCGAAAAGTGGGTAAAAGTATAGATGCAATAAGTATTTGTACGATTCTTAGGACGAACCATTTACAGTAGAGTTTGTAACGTAAACACATTAGTTTATTGCTCCGTACGAATTAGAAAACATGAAATTTACAGTAAAGTACTTTTAAAAATGGCTCTAATAGAGAAATAGAGAAATATAAGAAGATCCCACTTCTATAATAATATACAACTAATAATTTAATTAATTTAATGCTTAGAAGAGTTACAATAATTATAAAATCAAAAGAAAATCTCACGAAGGAAATATTATATACTTGACAATTAATGTAAATTTCTTTTTCTTTAACGAAGTTTTAAAAATTAATCAGTTGTACGAATACTTATTGCTTCAATATTTCTATCGATTAATTGTTTTTTTTTTGTCAATTTCGTAACTTACATAGATAGCTATTTTTTTTTTGTACTCTATCTGTTCTAGAGATTTCCGAGAATACGTAGAATGTCATTGTTTATCAAAAATAAGTTCATAAATTACAATTTTACATAGTTTTTTTGGAAATTGATCAGTGTACGATTACTTAAGTATTCGTAGAAATTTCTACACACACTGTACGTTTTAGAATTAAACAACTTGCCGTTTAAACATTTTAATGGAAAACTGATAAATCGTTTTTAGGAGGATAAAGTTGGCGAATATCTTGACGTGATTAGCTTTAATCGTTATAACGGTTGGTACAATAACCCTGGTCGCATCGACACAATTACGAATAGGGTTGTAGGGGAGGCTGAGGCATGGCATAGGAAATATAATAAGCCCGTGCTTATGTCAGAGTATGGAGCTGATACTATGCCAGGATTACACGAGGTGAATTATCTAATAATTGTACATTTTTTTAATATTATTTTAAATATATACGTTCTCGATAGACAAATACAAAAAACCTTATATTATAATGGCTGATATATTTTTTAAGACATCACATTATGCTATATTATTTACATACGATTGATTTAATTTAAAAATAAAAAGTTTCGTTTAAAAAAAAACCGATTATGATCTTTCAGCTGCCCGAGTATGTATGGAGCGAAGAATACCAAACAGAAGTATTTTCGAAACATTTTGAGGCATTCGATCAATTAAGAAATGAGGGTTTCTTCATTGGGGAATTTATTTGGAACTTTGCTGACTTCCGGACAGCTCAAAGTAAGTAAATAGTTCGATGAAAGTTTAAAAATGGATGAGTCGTTTAACGCTTTGATAATTACATTACACATTTTTAACAGCGTACATTAGAGTGGGTGGCAATAAAAAGGGAATATTTACCAGAGAAAGACAACCAAAAATGGCAGCTCATCACGTCAGAAAAAGGTACTACGCCCTCCAAAGGGAACTGGATGGAACAGAGATGCCGGTGGATCTCGAAAATTACGTTTCACCTTACTACCCTCCACATACAGAACTCTAGTATCTTTTTTAACACTTTGTAATTTTTGTTAATGAATTTTGAAAGACAATTGTTTGTTGTTGGTCGATAAATAAACGTTGTACAAAAATTATTTACTCGTTTCCTTCTTTCTTATATACAGGCCTTTCGAAAAGTGACGGACCCACCCTTATCTCAGAATCTATGCATTATTGGGAAAAAATGACTCGACACCAATTTTAAGGTTCAAAAACTTCTGTTTTTCTGTAACTTCAGATTTACCCTTGACCTTGAACTTAGAGGTCATTCGAAGGTTACCTTTCATTTTTCAAATGGGAACTCTTATTTCTTAGCTGAGATTTGGAAAGGGACATCACATTTTGAAGGTCACAATGACCTCTAGGGATTATTTCAAAATCAACTAGTTTCTTTTACATAAAAAACATTGCATTTATTTAAAAGTATATACAACATTCTTAATAGAAGCTTTTAAGTTCCTTAATAGCTATAAAAAGTACAAACACAATTTTAGGATAGGTACAATTTGTAATAAATATTTCATACATTGAAAAATCTAATAAACTCGTGTATATATTTTTATGGCAATTCAATAAATGGTTCAATTAAGTGTAAAATAAAGTATATACTTCAGTTTTCTGTGAAAAATATATGCAACAGTTGAATTTCAGACAATATTGTCCAGGTACATTAAAATGGTTGATCATCGACCGATGGTTCAACAACTTTCAGACATGCATCTGCCATTTCTACAAATATTGGTTCAGTCATAGCCAAAGCAATGGCTTTAGTAGGATTCTTATCTGTCAAGATTGAACGCATAATGCTACGTACATGTGGATTTCTTAAGCAATTTTTCAACTCTTTGCTCGAGTGTAATTGTTGCAATTTTTCAATGGGAACTGTATCCTCTGTGGGAAACTCATACTTGATCGTATTTACTTTGGTAGCTTCGCTCTGCTGAGGCTTTGGTGGTTCGCAGTTACTTTCTTTGTGGACCTTACAGCAAGCTGTAGAACAACTAATACACACAAAAAATATATTTGTAATTGTATCTTATAAAGGTGGAAGTAATCTATGACACTTCTTCGTACATACATGTATTTCACAGCAATAGCTCTATAGGTGAGTATAGGTTAAGATAATATTATATGTTGGAGTTAGCTCGACAAAAAAATGGTAAATAAATGCGAAGTAACATATAAAGTAAATTACATAGAGGAGACGTTTTGTATCTTCGTTTTGTACTTTGGTTTTAATATTTGAGGTTTTTGAACGAATGTAAACAAAAGGCCAGCAATGTGATAATAACAAACGTAATGTATTATGAACTTACTATGGCTCTCTACATACAGGACACTTATATGAGCACTCTGTCCTTTTGCACACACAGCAAACCTTTTCCATGATAATTATACGATTATTTTGCAACAATACAAAACAGTTTTAAAAACACAGCCCTGTCATTCTTTCTAATAAACATGCTATGCACTTTATTATGCTAATCGACCAGCCGTAAGTAACGAATAGGATGCATTATTGACCCAGAGGAATGAGCAGCACTATAATTGTTAATAATTATCATTTATTATTCATTAAATTCATTGCAATCATTTATTTCCATATAGAAGAGCATATAGGCAATTGAATGGACACTGGAATAGTATTGCCATCTAGCGGCGGCGACAGAACTAATTTTGCACATGCATCAATATTTTTTACTTTGCTTGGCATATAAACATAATTTTACATCATAATTAACATAAATAAGCTTCTAATTGATGATTTGTACATTAATAATTCACTGACATTGAGTTTTTTAAATAATTAAAATACCGGCGAATGTAGCGTCATCTCTCGGCAAACTGCTCAAGTTTGTTGTGGTATAGTTTCCATCTCCGGCCGCTAAATGGCACCACAAAGATGGAAATATTCGAAACATAAATTATCTACTTTTCACTGCATATAAATGCAATTTTACATGATAATTAACATAAATAAGCTTCTAATTGATAATTTGTACAATAATAATTCACTGACATTAAGTTTTTTAAATAATTAAAATACCGGCGAATGTAGCGCCATCTCTCGGCAAACTACTCAAGTTTGTTGTGGTATAGTTTCCATCTCCGGCCGCTAAATGGCACCACAAAGATGGAAATATTCGAAACATAAATTATCTACTTTTCACTGCATATAAATGCAATTTTACATCATAATTACAAGAAATAAACTTCTAATTGTTGATTTTAACACTAATATCTAAGTTTAAAAAAAATACAAGAAATGGAGTGTCATCTTTCGGCGAACTGCTAACAGTTTGTCGTGGACTAGTTTCCATCTCCGGCCGCTAGATGGCACTACAAAAATGAAAATATTCGAAACGTAAATTCTCTACTTTTCTCTGTATATAAACGGAATTATACATAATTAATATCATAAATGAACTTCTAATTATTTATTTGTACACCAATAATTGTCTAATGCCTAGTTTTTTAATTAAAGGAATATCGAAAGATGTGGCGTCATCTAGCGGCGGGAAATGGAAACTACTCCACGACAAACTTGAGCAATTCGCCGAGAGATGACGCTACATGTGCCGGTATTTTTTAAAATTATTTAAAAACCTTAATGTCGGGGAATTATTAGTGTGCAAATCAACAATTAGATCCTTATTTATGATAATTATGATGTAAAATTATATTTATATGCAGAGAAAATTAGAGAATTAAATTGAGAGGGTTAAATAAATAATATTTCTCAAAGGGTTAAACATAAACGAAAGAATCTAATGTTTCATACTCATAATAGAGATCTCAACAACAAAAATTCCTAAGTATATCGTAAGCTAGTTCCTACTTTAATCGAAGGTGGGAGGCTCAAATAAAGTGAGAATCAACTTCTATTATTATTGGTGGGATATTTAATGAATTATTCGTCAAATATATTTTCATTATGACACAAAATGAAATACATAAGATTTAGTAAAATTCATTTATGATTTCTTAATTTTTTTATATAATTATTCTTATTCATAAATGTAGACATTAATTCTATACCTTTTGCTTCAATCGTATATACCTATTGTTGAAATAAAAATATTCACTTGTTATTTTGTTACGTTAAATAAATAATGATGGCCATTACAATGTAACCTATATACAAAATTTATTAACGAATAAACTTCAGTTCTTGTTTTTCCAGTAGATCAAGCGTGTATTTGGGAATTAATAGTTATAGAAATTAGTTCTCCATCTTCATGTTTAATTGTTTGTAACTCCAGTTTAAACAGAAATACATACTCGACATTTTGTTATATTAAAAACTCAGATTGATTTAAAAACTGTGCTCTCTTCCTCTATGGCTGGAGGATGATTACAAGTGGGATAATCTTTTTTTTTTAAATAAATGGCAAGTCCATCTCAGAAAGGCAGAATAATTACACAGAATTATTTTCAATAACTAATTAAATAACATCCACTCACTTTTGGGCTGCAGCGCGGATGGATTCAACGTGGTCGAGTAAAGGGTTTGGCGCGTTTATCCGTGCGGGATTATGCGTCGTAGAACATTCGCTAAAAAATGTTCAATGACAACAATGATTGCAGATATCGGCAGGTAAATTACCAGCAAATTAGATTGCCGAGTTTCGTTGAGGCTTCCGTAAGCGAATCGAGAAACCTGCCAAGAGTCGGCTACTCTCAGAACTTCACCGACCTCCGGCAAGGTGAGTGCTACAGTGCTACACTAATCTTCGACCGCAAGTTCCAGAGGACTTCCCGTGACACGTGTCCGAGTTTCATATTCGAAACTTTACGGATCGGGTAAGTGACAATGTCGAAAAGTCTTCGTGGAAAATATTAACCTTTTCGACTCGACTGTTTTCTGTTTTGATTCTATTCGATTTCCCATTAGAAATTAATTGTATTAAACTAGGGTTGGCTATGATTCGAAGGCCATAGCTAGATGAGGAGGAATAATTTACCTCGGCACAAATTTTGATCGTTTTCTTCAACATACCTTCAAATGGAGTTATTAGCTACACTACTTCTATTTGGGTTCTATTCGTCTTTCTTTTACAAAATTAATTGTATTGAAGTAGGGTTGGCTATGAATTAAAGATCATAGCTAGATGAGAAGAGGAATAATTTACCTCAGCACAAATTTTGTTCGTTTTTTTAACATATGTTCATGTGAGAATCAATTGTAATTTTGCCAATGGCAATCGGATAAATTCACTGGGTCATATGCGTCTCACTAAGGTCGAGGGGGTTAACAAGGTTTCGATTCGATTCCGCGACCCTATAGTTTTAGTATTTGGCAAATCGAACGCACTCGAAGCTGTGATAATTATTAGGTTGTGTAATAAGTCCCTTCACGTTGATGTTTCGAGAAGTATTACCTGAGGTGGATGAACATATCGAGTTAGGGGTGATTTGAGAGTATTATGCGTTTCACGAAAGACCTATGCACTTTTGAAAATATATTATTTGAAATACTATCTCTAATAACTAGATTGCGGAACTTTATGCAAAATAAAATGTTTGCGAACGTGCCTACAAAAACTTTTATTATATAGGAATTCATTTTATTATGGAAATGTTATAACATGAACTTTACTTTCAATCTTTTGTATATTCTCGCATATTGTTTGTATTTTCTAGGTTCTTGAGCGTTCAAATTTTTTATAAATGCATAAAAATCTGCTGATCTACTAATAACATATTATTTTACTTCATAGTTACTTTCGTACGTGTGATCACCTTTGAAATGACGTCATTTTAAATATCACATCAAATGATACATAATTGTGAAATTGTTCTTAAAAATGATACAGATGAAATACCAAACGATTTTACATTTGTTATTCAAACTCAAGAAGAAATAAGTGGTAATAAAATGTTTGACCTCTCTATGTAAAATGATAATCCGATTATAAGAGACGTTTTTCGGAAATATAACACGCTTGATGTGAAAAATTAGATTTATTTGTCGAGAATGATTTACATAACAGACGAATCTTCAAAATTAGTTTGAAAACTTTTAAATTTTACTTTTGATTTTTGTTCCTCGCGAGGATTCCTCTTCTTCTGCGGTTGGATTAAATAGCGTTTGGTGGGGATAAACCCTCGGTGGATTATCCGTCGGCTTTAGTTATCGCATATGTTATAGGACACGTTCCATGCAGTGTAACTTATCTCTAAATTCAACTTATAGAAATTAATTCTCTGCCTCTATACATTTAATTATTTATAACTCCAACTTAAACAGAAATATTCACTCTTCATTTTATTACGATAAGGTACCTTCACAGTAAGTGCAACACACAGATTACTTCGATATTGCTCACTAGGGGAAAATGAAAAGTTTCCACGGTTTTTCGTTATAATTAAATGGTAGATTTACAGTAGAGAAGCAGAGAATTAATTTCTGCATAATATTTATAGTATTGTATATTCTTTATTGCTCCCCTCACATTTACATCTTTACATTCCTACTCTCTTCACCTCTCACACCCTCTTTCATCACTCTACCTTTACCCACTTCTCCTTCATCCTCCTCGCCAGACACACTCCTCCTTTTCCCTTCTTCCTTCAACCTTCATATTCACCCTCCCTTCCTCCTTTATCAACATCTCATTATGCTCTACCTCCTTTCCTCGTCTTCCTCCCTTCCCCTTAACGTTTCTATGCCCTTTATCCCTCCTTCCTAGTCTTCTTCATCCCCTAACATATTTGCGACATTTTCCTGCCACCCACCTTCTTGATCCGCCATTCTACTTCACCCCTTCCAAACGTGCTCCCACAACTCTTCCCCCCTCACATCTCCTGTACCTCCATGCCTCTTCATAATATTTATAATATTTCAGATAAATAAGTGCCTCCTATGATTAATAATCCTATTAAAAGCTAACTGTACTTTTTATTTTTGAAAAAAAGTCAGACTTGTCTATCAACATAATTTTTCTAAGCCACTCATCCATACATTCCCCTCTCCTTCATCCCTTACTATCTTTGCAACATTTTCCTGCCACCCCTTTACTACAGCCCTTCCAAACGTGATCCCACGGCTCTACCCCCTCACATCTTCTGCACCCCCATCCCTCTTTATACTATTTATACTATTTCAGATAAATAAATGCCTCCTAAGATAATAATCCTATGAACAACTAATTATAGCTTCGGGTTGTAAATAAATAGTCAGACTTGCCTATCAACATATTAACTTTTCTATACTCCTCATCCATCCAACCCCCTCTCCTTCATCCCTTAGTACCTTTGCGACATTTTCCTGCCACCCACCTTCTTGGTCCACCCCTCTACTTCGCCCCTTCCAAACATCTCCCACGTCTCTTCTTCCCCCACATCTCTTGCACCCCCTTTTCTCCACTGAACACTTATACTATTTATTATTAATACTTTTTAAAATAAATAAACGCCTCCTTCGATTAATGATCCTTTCAACAACTAATTGTAGTTTCTGTTTGCGAGTAAATAGTCAGGCTTGCCTGTCAACGCATTAAAAGCATCGACAGCTGACGGTTAATCTCGATTGGCGAAGATCGCGAGGAAGTAAGACATCTCTTGGCGCGCTTCGGCTCGCAGAATCGAATTTCCTGTTGCCCGTCGGTGACGTAGTTTGGCGTTCCATTAACGGGAGTCCCCCATACAGAAACGGTTCTATTGATTTTTCGTAGGGGCGCAAGCGTATTCGGTTCTTATCTGGCGAAAGAGAGGCGCGGCTATAACCATGGATCCCAGTGTGCTCGCAAACATGGACAAGGACGCGTTGAAGAAGCAGATCGAGAACATGAAGTACCAAGCCAGTATGGACCGGTGGCCCCTGTCGAGGAGCATTGCCGCGTAAGTCGATCGACTTCACTTTTCGCGCTCGAAACGTTCCGCGGTTTACCTTCTTTTCTTTTATTTCCCTTTAGTTTCATTCATTTTATTCCATACTACGCGCACCAAGTGAGAGGTACTCGCATCCAACCCTCTCCGAAGACGTAGAGACGCGATGCCATTTGTATCCTTGTCGCGATAAAGGTCATAAACAGTGCTGAAAGAATTATTTTCACCGTTTGAGACGGTTTACAGTTTACGGTTATCGTTTTTGCGCTGTGTATATTTTTGTATCGTATTATTAATCAATATACCACACGACGTTCCATGTAAATCCTTATCGTGTTCATACTTCACATCTATTTTACATAAAAGGGTTTTCCAAAAGGAGCTTTAGGATCTTGGCTCTTAAAAAAGCAAAACAAACATTGTGGAATACATTTTATCTTTTTTTTTTTTATTATGAATCAAATTGTTGGTACCGATGCTTACAATTTTTTAAACTATTCTAAAGCCATCTTTGGAGAATCCATTGTGTATCGAACCTCGATGACCTTATGGACCATTTTTAGACCTCTGCGGTCCAGATTTTCTGATCTCCGTCCATCTTTGTACATCTTTCTCTGTACACGACCGCAAAGGGTTGACAGGTTTGAAGGCTGAGCCATCTAACTCGGCGACTTTACAATTGGAAACGTTTTATTATGTGAACAAAGTTTTGAAATAAAAGTGGTGTCGAGAGGGATGAATGACAGTGCAGTTTCCTCGAATTAAGCATCGTGAGTAGTCCAACAACACAGTTAATTGATTCCTGCGAGTCGATACTGGACTTAAAATGCCTATAAATAGTGGAGGTTACAAAAATAAATAGTGTTCAAGGAAGAGTCTTAAGACGAAAAAGGTTGAAAAGCGCTTGTATAGTAATCAATTCGATTATCGTTGGCAGTTTGCAGTTAAGATCGCCATTTAATATCCACGAAAGTGACCGATCGAGCAACATTATGTTTGAAACGCTGATGACATCGAATCTAGCAATTAACTCGTTGGTAGCAACAGCCTTCTGAGAGCCTTCTGGGTCCTGGCAGAGTCTCTCAGATACAAAGAGCTGCAAGACCAGCAAGACTTACTTTCTAATAATACATAAACTTATTGAGAAACCGCCAACATATTCAACAAAATTCTAACCATCCATGTTCATCAAAAGAAAAGGTTTCGAAACAAAAAAGGAATGACACAACTGTGAACTCTAACCCTTTGAAATGTTAGCTGGACCTCTGATACATCCTGCGACGTTACTCGAGAGTGAACATACTTAACATACTTCGGCTCTGAGCTTGAGGATTCATCTCTAGGCGCATGAACATTATCCTCTCGGCAAAAGGGGAAGGTGGCGTCACACTGGCTCGTTTAGACGAGACAATTGCTCGCATGAAAGTTACTCGACCAACGTGAACGTAGAAGCGAATTCTTAGACGAATCGAAGAATACTGGCGAAACCATAAGCGACGATGTAAGTGGTCGGCTCGACACGACACGACACGCCGCTGGCAATTAACAGTCAAGGCTGAGCAACACCGACGTTTTCATACACCACGCAGGGGACAGGATCTCCTTGGATGTGGACAGTCGGTTAATCGCATATTCGCGTACCGATCACTTTCAGACATTCAATATCGGGGTTTCGCGCGCATACCATGCCGCGAGTCCGCGCAGGGACGGTCGAAGGTAAAGTGGAACCTCGATTATTGCAGAAATTGGGGCTGGAAAGTCGTGCAATTATCGAGGTTTATGTGATATAGTCGATGTAACCAGTCCAATGAGCACCTTTATTATTATACTCAGACTTACTTATAGCATAGATAAAATGGAACCTCGATTATTGCAGAAATTCGGACTGAAAAGTCGTGCAATAATCGAGGTTTATGGTCGATGTAATCAGTCCAATGAGCACCTTTATTATTAGGGGGATCAGAAAGTAATGTCGTTTCTGTGAATGTCAATACTTGTTCATCATATATCAGCGCATTGTATACAGTTGATTTTTATCGATCAGATATTGAAAATTTGCACACTAGATAACAAATGGTTGTTGATAACGAGAGCGATTACATAATTGATTAAAAATAAAAACTTGATATAAATTTATTTGTTTGAATTTAATGTAAAAGATACGATATTACTTTCTAGTCCCCCTAATATTATACTCAGACTTACTTATAGCTTAGGTAAAATGGAATCTCGATTATTGCAGAAATTTGGGCTGAAAAGTCGTGCAATTATCGAGGTTTATGTGATATAGTCGATGTAACCAGTCCAATGAGCACCCTTATTATTATACTCAGACTTACTTATAGCTTAGGTAAAATGGAACCTCTTGACTATTGCAGACGTTGGGCCTGGAAGGTCGTGCAATTATCAAGGTTCTTCTGATAGTCAATGTAACCAATCCAATAAGCACTCCTGCTACTATTCTCAAACTCATTTGTTGCTTAGCGACTATTCCCTCTCCTCAACACCATCAGAGTAGCCTGAACAGTGTTACCATCAAAGACAATTTTATATTTGTTGATTCTACTTCGTCATTGATGTGTAATTCAAATTTAAGAGCCGAAAGGTTTAAGCTAAACCAATCCAACTTTCTGAGAACCCACAGCTCTGGTTTCCACTTCTATGAAGTTTGAATGGAATGCCTCCTGATGACTCAAGGATAATAACTGCGATCACCGAAGCAATTCGAGCCAGATTCAATCGCCTACGTAATTTGTTCTTTCGTTGTAACGGACAGCCGCGTTCACCGTTCCGCCTTAGTTCGAATCAAACGTTCTTCTCTTGGGTTAGATCACTTTCGTTTTCTTTTCCTGTTCCCCCCTTCTCCCACATCCACGCCCTTCCTTTACCTTCTAACTCTGTTGAATGAAATGGTTACCAGTTTTCATTTCGATCATTGCGTAATTTTTATTGGCATGTAATTAAGCGCACGAGAACAATCGTTTAGTGGATTTCAGCGCGACGAGTATTTAAGGTCGAACGTTTTAAGCATAATTCACTCGAAAGCAATTATTCCTGAATTAAGATGGAAAAGCGACTTAACGAGCTGTTTGAGTATAGCAACCGTAGAGAGCTCTGGGATACACGAGTAATTGTTTTAGAAGCCTCGGAACCTGTTCGCTCTCACGACTATTAAGACATTGTCAAAGTGTTCTTAATTCGTAGAAAAAGAAAGTACTTCCTGCAGAAAATGATCTTTATTCTGTTTAGAACAAACAGGTCGCTTAGGCTAATTATAAAATTGGAGAGGAAATGGCATGCTGACTAGAAATAAGAGTGACAGAATCTAACAAGACCTTGCAAAAAAATTCTTACTCGACGAAAGGAGAGTATAATGGTCCCCTAATATTAAAGAAGGATCTAAGACAGAATTTTATAAGTCTCATTAAATTATTTATAATTCACTTCAATTTAACGAAACGAAGAATTGTTGGTGTGCAATGTTCGATATTAAAATTCTACAATTGTACCTTGGTTTTTCAAAAAAATTTTCCAATAAAGTTTTTACTTAATCATATTTGAACTATACAATCGATTATTTGGAGAAACATTATTATCTAATTATTTTTCCAAATCAACCACTCCGTTACTATATTTACTATGACTTTTATTTTTATTTATTTAAAGAGAATTTTTTTCCAGAATAATTGTTTACTAAAACTTAGGCTCACTGATACATTAAATATAACGTGTCAATGAATGAATAATTGTTTCTTGAAACATCAAACAATTTTACCTATTTTCGGAGTCCTTTTTCGCTTTCTAAAGTGTCACAGTTCGGACGATAAATGATGCGGTCAACCTAGTTATAACCTGTCCTACTTTAGCGGAAATTATACACGAGAGCCTGCACAATACTCGATTATTCGCGCAGCTGGCATACGCATTCATTTTCAAGAATTTTCGACAATCGAATAGCCACGTGCGCACCAGTGAAATTCAAGTTCGTTAACCTGATTGCCCGTACACGTAACGGTATATACGAGACTTCGACACGTAGGTAGCAAACAATAGAAAGTATGATAATCATCTACCTAAAAAGAAGTAGAAGGAGCACTGCATCCGGGCTAGGTTTTTCAAATGAATCTCACAGATTTGTTAAGTAAGGCTTCGCGCAGCATTCTGATATAGAGTACTCTAGATTTCTACATCTATAGATTACTATTGTCTGAGTTAGACAAGACATCATTGTAGGCTCCTTTATTTTGTGAAAATAGATTTTATATAGGATTAGGATTTTTTTAATAATAAAATATTTTTATTAGTATAGTCGTAGTGGACACTGAAATGACACAATCTTTCATCTTCAATTGTCTATAAATTGTGTTTTATTAAAAAATAGAATTGTAAAATTTCTTTCAGAGGAACCTTTACCATTCTTTGTCACCTGATGAATAAATAAAGAAATACGAATTTCAAAAGAGCACTGGAAGAAGAACAGTAAGGGTTAAGCAATCTCAACCAAAGCTCACTTATAACTAAATGTAAAGAAAATTTAATTAATTCGTTTTGAATTAATCTTAGAAGTCTCTGTCCATAAAAGGCGCTAGACAACCTTTCTTTTTTAAGTGTCCTTATATAATTTTCGAATATTCTTTGTCCATACTCTGGTGTTCGATTTTATATAAATAGAATGCAGGAACGCATCGCTAATGAGATACTGGTTTAATAACAAATGGGAAGTTCGACAGTGTTCCCGATTGCAGAACAACGCGGAACTGCGTCCTACCAACGACGTTATCCTGTTCTGTGGTTTTCGAGGCGAATCGTACCCGAAAGCAAAAAGTTTCCGCGGTCGACTACTCAGAGAGTGCCAGAGTGAAAGGTACCTCCCATTTTTTTTCCATTCTTCCCGATCGGTACTAATCTTTCGTTCACGCTGCCACAGAGTACTCTTGTCGAGGCGAAACTTCAACGTTGTCCAAGTTCCGATTCTAAAAGGATATAAAAACGATCTTTTTAAAATCTTTTTA